GGGGTAGGGGAGAAGGTCTGGAAGAAGTCAACTCCCAGTCACTGACTGGAGCCTCCTGCAACGTAACGCGCCTTGAAGACAGGCGGAGAACCTGGCGGCCGCTTCACCCTGAAAATCCACATGCCATCGACTATGTTCGCCCCAGGAGGGGGAACTGCGTCGACATAAGTGCCTGTGGACTTCCAGGATGCCATCTCTGCGTCCATGGCTGTCTGCCACTGAGAGGAGTAGGGACCCTCTATCGCCTCTGCGTAAGAGCGCTGGGTCGGGATGTCTGGTGCATCCGGGTCTCCCTCAGGTGCAATCAGCATGGACACGAGATGAGGTACAGCAGCTGAAAAACACTCAAGGTCCTCCTGCCTGTCCACAAGGATGGCCGTGCCAAGAGCACACTAACCCCCGACAGACGGAGGACAGACAGACTCAGACTCAGCAACAAGGCTAGCGGCGTAGTCGAGACGACAGGCGGCAGCAAAGTCAACAAGCTCAGCAACTAGGGCAGACATTGCAGTGGACTCAAACGAAGGGTCAGTGACAACAGTGGCGAGAAGACGAGTGATAGTGGGACTAGTAGCACGTGCGAGGTCGGACGCAGGGTCAGAAACGTCAGGAAGAGAGAACGCAGGAGGAGACGGCAGAGGGACACGCTGTGGAACAGAGGAAGGACGAAGTGCCATAGGGTGTGGCCGGGGACGGGAGGAGGATGCTGCTGAGGAACACGGCGACCAGTGCGAACAGCACGAACAGGCGATGCAGGGCGAGACGCAAGCTCACGACGCTCTGTAAGACCTCTTGTCTGCTCAGTGTAAGGAGAAGGAGCAGGAAGTGGGGAGGCTGGCTGTAACTGCGGCTGCGACTGGTCAGGCGGTGGACACAGTAAGGGAGGACTAAGGTCAGTAGAAGACGGGAGACCAAGAACCTGCTGAAGTAGTGGAACGAAGTACGGTCGCGGCCGCACAGTGCCTCTAGAACCAGCACTGACAGCACTAGCACCCCCAGGGCCAGCACCTCCAGCTCCACGGTCTCCATTTCCAACGCCTGCAGCACTACCAGCTCCAGCAGCTCCAGCTCCAGAGCCTCCAGCTCCAACTCTTGCAGCACCCCCAGCTCTAGCACCTCCAGTACGAGTACCTCCGGGACCAGTGGCTCCAACACCTCCAACAGCTTCAGCTCCAGCGCCTCTAGCTCCAACTCCTGCAGCACTCTCAGCTCCAACGGCTCCAGTACCTCCAGTACGAGCACCTCCAGGACCAGTAGCTCCAGTGCCTCCAGCAGCTTCAGCTCCAGCGCCTCCAGCGCCAACTCCTGCAGCACCCCTAGCTCCAGCAGCTCCAGTACCTCCAGCTCCAGGGCCTCCAGCGGCAGACCCCCCAACTCCAGCAGCACCACTCCGAAGGCTCCAGCGCCGAGCAAACCACTCGCGCAGCTGCGGTGGAGAGAGAGGCTCCCGACGCGACGAGGCACCTATAAGACCTCCAGGCTCAGCACGCAGAGGCTCAGCACCCCCCGGCTCAGCATCCCCAGCCTCCGCACGCTCAGCCTCAGCAACCCCAGGCTCCGCACCTTCAGACTCAGCAACCCCAGGCCCAGCACCCCCAGGCTCCGCGCGCTCAGGCTCAGCACCCCCAGGCTCCGCACGCTCAGGCTCAGCACCCCCAGATGCAGCACCCCTAGCAGCACCACCCCCAGCAACACCAGAGTCGACAGCGGCCTCGACGGGCTCGACAGGGTCTACCTGAGACACACTTGAGGGAGCAGGACCATGAGGGGGGAGGGGGTTTACCGGAGGACCTGGTGCGAGAAAGAGCGGCGGGGGGGGGGGAGAGGAGCAGTGCGGTAGGGGAAGAGACAGTAAAAGGGAACCGAATCGTGAAACGTGACGTCCTGAGAGGGCAGGACACGGCGCGAGGTGGGGTGGTAAAACTTCTAGCTAGGCGCGTCAGGGGGAAAGCCAAGGAAGACGCAGGGAATGGCGCGGGAGGAGAGCTTGCCCGCGGACGTATCGCGTACAAAGGCACGAGAGCCCCAGACCCGGAACACCGACGCATCGCCAACCTTCCCCGTCCAATGCAGTGTAGGAGAGGTCTCCGGCAAGGAGACACGGGGCCAAAGGTTGAGCTGATGCGCAGCGTACCGGACCGCGAACGATCACAGAAAATGGGCGGCAGCCGCATGGATCATGGAGGTACGAGCGACCTCCATGACTAAGCCAATGCAGCACTCAGCAACCCCATTCTGCTGCGGAGAGGCCGGAAGCGTGAACGACTGGGTGATGCCCTCCCCACGACAAAAGTCCCGCAAGAGGTCGGAGGCAAACTCACCACCTCTGTCAGAGTGCAGACGCAGGACAGGAAGGTCCGTGTCAAACCGCTCGCGGAGTTGGAGACGGACGGTGCGGATTCAAGGGATCAAGACATCAGGGAACTCCCCCTTGCTGCGCAAAGGGAAGACCATGGTGTAACGCGATTAGTCGTCAACAACCAGCAGGAAGTAGCGCTCGCGGCCCTATCCACAAACGCGGGCTGGGCCCCACACGTCCATGTGGAGAGTCTACAGGGGAGTAGTCATTGGGGGAAACGAGGAGGAGTGAGGAGCGGCGCGCTGCCGCTCCTCGACACAGGGAAGGCAGGGAGGGGCAGGCGAGGGTGGGAGGGGAGGCAGAGACCTGGGAAGACCAGAGACGAGGAGACGGGAGTGCATGCCACGGAGGCGTGGCACGGAGGGGTGATCAAGGCGGTGGTGCCAAAGGAGCGTCTGGTGCGACAGGGCACGACACAAACAGGGGGCCTCTAGCTGACCTGACGCGGACGCAGATGCAGGTACCTGAGGAGGCTCAGTAGTCAGTGTGTACAGACTCAACCCTGGCCGACAAGTGAACATGGCCATGTGACGGCCAGTCCGGGAGCACGTACAGATCGCCACGCGCTGTCCTCCAGGGGTAAAGGTATCAACCCAATCATCCTGAAGGACGGCGTTGCTCACCAAGTTCGCAGAGAACGAGGGGAGTTGAAGACCTGATAGTGAGCCAGATGGAACCGCCGGACACGGGAGAACAGTGGAGGAACGTGCAAGAACCGGGCCCCCAGAGGGGTCAGCCAGAGAGACTGCAACCGGTGTTGCGAGTGGTGTGACTGCCAGAGAGAAGCAGCGGGAAGCACCTAAGTCAAGCGTGAAGGTGTGCAAGGCCGCAGCAGGCGCAGTACCAGAGAGCGCAGTCTCACTAGCACCTAGAGCAGCAGCCTCTATACCTGGGTCGGGCGGCATACACAGGTAACGGTCACCCTCAGCAGTAACAGTCAATGCATACATGGCAGCAAGGATAGCATCATAATCAAGAGCAAAGATATCCCCACTACAGCCTACACAACGTGATAGTTTGACAGAAGCATCTCACATGTTCATCACACAATTGTCAGAATCCCAACCTCTAGACCATTGGGATAAAAGGGCTTGTTTCAGTAGCGGGTCATTGCGCCCATAACCCCCTAAGCTAACATGCCTGTAACCCCCCTAGGATCATTCAGGGATCTCACAGTGCAGCTCTCCTGACACCCCCCCACACAGGGAGGCCCAAGACTGAGCACAGCGGCAACGACCTGCATGTGCATACACCGGGATTCGAACTCGAGACCGCTCTGATACCATGTCAGAATCCCAACCACTAGACCATTGGGATAAAAGGGCTTGTTCGTATAGCGGGTCCGTGCGCCCATAACTCCCCAGGCTAACATGCCTGTAACCCCCCTAGGATCATTCGGGGATCTCACAGTGCAACTCTACTGACAACAATGAGTGTATTCGAAGGCTGACGATACGGGCGACAACCAAGGCGATCCGTCAGGTGCCAATGAGTGCAACCAATTAGGATGCTGGAATTGCGAACGTGCATACGGACATAGCAACACAACCAATCAGGGTAGGGGAAACATGAAAACTGGGAGATACAATACGGTGTTGGTGTCAAAGGAGTCTGCCGAAAGGTAGGTAGGAGAAAAACGCACCACCAACCATGAATGTGCATACCAACGAGAATGCCAATTCGACAATTCTTACGAGTTAGACGCACGATTGCCTACAGTGCATGGTAAGAGGCAGACGTATATGGCAAAAAAACGCGTCGCACATGCATTTTATGCTACATCCAGCTGTCATCCGAGTTGAGAAGTGTCCGTTGCAACGTGTTAGCGACCACGGTAACGGAGTAGATCGACATAAAGAAGGAAACATCTTGTGCAGACAGAAGGGTGTAGTGACGCGTTTTAGTAATAGGCACGGACCCGCAGGGCCGTTGCGAATGAATTATATAGACCAACACATTAGGACGGCGGGAGCATCAAACGCCCCAGGGCCATAGATTCTACCTACTGATTTGGACTTTAGTGATAAATTGGCAGCGACGGGCGTGGGAGGAGGCTAGAGACGACGCGAGGGAGGGAGATAAACGAGAAAGCGCACGGTTGAAGACTAGTGGCTGAGTTAACATTTTCGAGCCGCGAGAATAATCGGTAAGCGTGAAGTTTGACTAACATTGGCGAAAAGTAAAGAATAGCACGAATGGCACGCGTCCCCGCTAGTAGAGTTAGCAGAAGGAGGGCGAGTGTTGAGACTGCCGCGCGATTCACAACACCGCGGGTTCCATAACGGGTTTATACAAGTGCAAAAAAGTTGTTACTTGCGTATCGACAGTGACATACGCATGGCGCAGCTGAAATAGTCAATGCTAGTGGCTGACACATCGGAAGTCGGGGCAGCGAGTTCAGGATGAGTGTGTGCATCAGCTGCAGCAACTGCCTACCACATTGCAGGGGATGTCTGCCTGCGGACACAGTAACGTGAAGTCACTTCGCCTACTATCACTTCTTCCACATCACTGATGTTACTCTCAAGCATGTGAACAGGGGGTGCTGCTAACGTAAAAGCCACTATCGCCTCTGCTGCGACTAAGCATGCGTCATCACCTTTGAAACAAAAAAAGCAAGCGAGGTTGGCACCTGATACTCTCACCGCATGAACGCGTCACTGCGGAAGAGGATGGGGGAAAGCAGGACGCGGGGAACCGGGGAGATGCCGGGGAGAGAGCTATCCGAAGGACTGTGGGGAGGGTGCAAATGATGTGGGGAAGGATAGAGGTAAGCAGTGTGATGGTGAAATGCGATCATTGGGGGAAAGGAAGGGTGTGTGCAGGTTGGAAAGGGGGCATGACAAGTGAGAAGGGAGTTGGGGAAGGGAGAAGGGAGGGATGGCGACACTGACGGGAATGCCATGGCGACGAGGGGAGAGAGATAGGGGGATTGCGAAGGGACGAGCGGGAGGGAGGGCGACGAGCAGCAGGGAGCGCGACGAGACAAAGGGGGGCAACGGGCAGAAGGGAGCGCAACGAGGGGAAGGTAGGGCGGCGGGCGGCCAGGAGGGGAATGGGAGGAAGGGAGGGCGATGAGACGAGGGCGACGGGCGGAAGGGAGGGCGTCGGGCAGAAGGGAGGGCGACGGCGGAAGGGCGGGTGACGGGCGGAAGGAAGTGCGACAAGCGGAGGGAGTGCGACGGGCGGAAGTGAGTGCGACGGGCGGAAGGGGATGCGACGAGCGCTAGGGAGTGCGTCGGGCGGAAGGGAGGGCGACGGTGGAAGGGAGTGCGACGAGCGCTAGGGAGGGCGATGGGCACAAGGGAGGGCGACGGCGGGAGGGAGGGCGATGGGCGTAAGGGAGTGCGATGGGCGGAAGGGAGAGCGAGGCGGATAGGAGAGCGACGGGTGGAAGGGATCTGATTGATCATCGCTTCGACGACCGTCTCGAGCGTCGCGAGTGAGTAGATCCGGAGCGGTGCGCAGTCCACGATCATGTGAGAGATGTGGTTTCTCTATGAATGGGGCATTCTAAGTCACATTTTGACGCTTGGGTACCCTCATGGTCGACAAAAAGGATGATGCGTGGAGATGGCCGAGAGTTACGGAGAAAAGGATTATTACGGAAAGAGTTTGGGCGTGGAAAACGGAGGAAGGGCGGAAGGGAGGGCGGGTGACGAGCGGAAGGAAGTGCGACAGGCGGAGGGAGTGCGACGGGTAGAAGTGAGTGCGACGGGCGGAAGGGGATGCGACGAGCGCTAGGGAATGCGTCGGGCGGAAGGGAGGGCGGCGGCGGAAGGGAGTGCGACGGGCGCTAGGGAGGGCGACGGGCACAAGGGAGGGCGACGGCGGGAGGGAGGGCGATGGGCGTAAGGAAGTGCGACGAGCGGAAGGGCCAGCGATGGGCGGAAGGGAGAGCGAGGCGGATAGGATAGCGATGGGCGGAAGGGATCTGATTGATCATCGCTTCGACGACCGTCTCGAGCGTCGCGAGTGAGTAGATCCGGAGCGGTGCGCAGTCCACGATCATGCGAGACATGTGGTTTCTCTATGAATGGGGCATTCTAAGTCACATTTTTACGTTTGGGTACCCTGATGGTCGACAAAAAGGATGATGCGTGGAGATGGCCGAGAGTTACAGAGAAAAGGATTACTACGGAAGAGTTTGGGCGTGGAAAACGGATGAACAACCTGTTAGTCGCCTGTCAATATGCCTGGCAATTAGTACAACTTGGTTTTCAAGTTTACTGAATGTGAACAGTGCTCGACTGCCCACTAACCTCCACTCAGTATGACTGATTTCGTCGCTGGCCAATCATGGATCATCGATTCTAACACTGTCTGAACAAGATTGAGACGGAGTGTGTCAGAAAAACTGTGTAGGAATGATTGGATTAGCAAGAGTTGGGGTACAAGTACTAACCCTAGAAGTGCTGTACTCCATAAGGAGTGCCCCACTATAGCCTACAAGTGAGATTGTACTTTGACACACCCCCATAGGCTAAGTGGGGGACAACAAGATGGTCACAAGACCAGTCAAGCAAGACAACAGAGCAAAGCAAAGCAAAGCTTAGGGTGGATCTCAAGGACACCACACAATCCGAGCACAAGCAAGCTGCCACAAGGCCGGTTCACATGCAGAGTTATAATAACAAGGCAATACACTGATCACAACCTAGCAAGAGTAAGCATGCAGGTATACATATAGATATCAGGGTACAACAAGTGCAAGATCAAGAGACAAGCAGGTGAGGTAGAACCGGCAGAAGCCCAAGAGCAGTACAAAAACGCTGAAGATCACAAGACCCAAGGGCCTTGGTGAAGACATCAGCAGTGTTGGCCCGAGAGGCCACGTAAGAAAGGCGAAGCTGACCACGCTGCTGCAGCTCCCGAGCAAGAATGTAACGAAGAGCAATGTGCTTCGTTATGTGCTCCAGTCTCTGCTCCTGACACAAGGCGATCATGGCCTTGTTGTCAACGTACAGGACTGGAGGAGAATGAGGCCGCTCCCCTAAGTCAGTCAGCAGGCAGGTCAGCCAGCATAGCTCCTGTGCAACCATGGCCCCAGCGTAGATCTCGGCCTCAAAGCTGGAACCAAGTACAGAAGAAGAACGAGTGGACCTCCACAAGACAGAACCAGAGCCAAGACTGAAGGTGTAACCCTGTGACGAATGCTGAGTCGACTGGTCGTCGGCCCAAGAAGCGTCGGAGTGTCCTGTGAATACCACTGGACCCTGTCCTCCGAGCACGAGCCCCATGCCCGATGTACTGCACATGTAACGCAGTACCCTCTTTGCAACATCAAAGTGCACCTTTCGGTGTCTACCGGGAGCCACGTAGCGAGCCAGGAGGCTGAGAGGGTACGCGAGGTCAGGTCGAGTGCACGACATCAGGTACATGAGGCAACCCAAAAGCTCTGAAGGACGGACCACTCGGCTCTACGGACTCGTCCGAAGGTGGAGCTGAGAGCGAGTGGCCGGTAGACAGAGGAGTGGGCTGTGGCGAGGACCACGTGAAGCCGAAGTGCCGAAGGACCTGGTGCACCATGTGTGACTGAGTTAGGGTGATGGTGCGCCGTGCTCTGTCCCGGGTGATCTGCAAGCCAAGATAGCTACGCAACTCACCCAGGTCAGTGCATGTGTGTCTCTCCTGCAGCTCCGCCTTCACTAGGGCCAGCGCCTCAGTATCAGCAGTAGCAAAAACCAAGTCGTCAACGTATACGAAAACGTAGAACGGTGGCAGGGTAGTGTCGGTCCGTAGAAACAGCGACGGGTCAGCAGAGGAAGGAGCAAACCCAAGAGCCACAAGTGTAGTCCTCAGTGTGTCGTGCCACTCGCGGTGTGCCTGGCGGAGACCATAGACTGGCCGCCGGAGGCTCCACTGGGTACCCGCAGGAAACGACCCAGTGAAGCCAGGTGGGCGGCGTAGCCAGATCTCCTCGTGAAGGCTGCCCTGCAAGAAAGTTGTGGAGAAGTCGAGGGAGTGCAGCTCGTAGTCACGCTGTGCTGCAACATGTAGCAACACCCGAAGAGTAGTCATCTTCGGAGTGGGGGAGAAGGTATGGAAGAAGTCGACCCCCTGTCACCGACTAAAGCCTCGAGCAGCGTAACGCGCCTTGAAGGCAGGCGGAGAACCCGGCAGCCGCTTCACTCTGAAAATCCACATGTCATCGACTATGTTTGCCCCAGAAGGAGGAACCTCGTCGACGTAGGTACTTGTGGACTTCCAGGAAGCCATCTCTGCATCCATGGATGTCTGCCACTGAGAGGAGTACTCACCCGCGATCGCCTCAGCGTAAGAGCGCGGGGTCGGGATGTCCAGTGCATCCGGGTCTCCCTCAGGGCAAAGTAGCATGGATGCGAAACGAGGTAAAGCGGCCGCAAGACACTCAAGCTCAAACTGCCTGTCCTCAAGGACGTCACTGCTAAGGGCAGGCTCACCCCCGACGGACGGAGGACAAACAGACTCAGACTCGGTAACAAGAATCGCGATGTAGTCGAGACGACTCCTAGCTGCAAAGTCGACTAGCTCAATGACTAGGGCAAACGCTGCAGTAGACTCAAAGTCAGGGTCAGTGACGAGAGTAGCGAGGAGACGAGTGACAGTAGGACTGGCAGTACGAGCAAGGTCGGAATCAGGGTCAGAAACGTGCGGAAGAGAGGACACGGGAGGCTCAGGCAGGACAACACGCTGTGGAATAGAGGAAGGACGAAGTGCCATACCGTGAGTGCCTGGGACAGCAGGAGGACAAGGACGGGCGACAGGACGAGCACGAATAGGTGTGGAAGCATGAGTCTCAGGCTCATGATGCTTAGTCAGGGACTCAGTCACCTTAGTGTCAGGAGTAGGAGCAGGCAGTGAGGAGCCAGGCAGTAGCTGCGGCTGAGACTGGTCTGTCGGTGGACACAAGAGAGGTGGAGTGAGGCCAATGGAAGACGGGAGACTAAGAACCTAGTGAAGGACCGAGTCCGGCGGCGGCAGGGACGACTGCGGCTGCGGGTAGAAAAATAGTCGGCGCGGGGCAGTACCAGCAGCTCCAGCTCCTCCAGCAACACCAGCACCTCCAGCACTAGCAGCTCCAGTAGCACCTCCAGCACCTCCAGCACCAGAAGCACCACCTGCTCCGGCAACTCCAGCACCTCTAGTACGAGCACCTCCAGGAACAGCAGCTCTAGCACCTCCAGTACCTCCAGCTCCAGCGCCTCTAGTACCTCCAGTACCTCCAGCTCCAGCGCCTCCAGTACCTCCAGTACCTCCAGCTCCAGCGCCTCCAGCACCAGCAGCACCACCTGCTCCGGCAACTCCAGCACCTCTAGTACAAGCACCTCCAGGACCTCCAGCTCCAGCGCCTCCAGCACCAGCAGCACCTGCACCTCCAGTGCCAGCAGCTCCAGTAGCACCTCCAGCACCAGCAGCACCACCTGCTCTGGCAGCTCCAGCACTTCTAGTACGAGCACCTCCAGGACCATCAGCTTCAGCACCTCCAGTACCTCCAGCTCCAGCGCCTCCAGCACAAGTAGCACCTCCAGGATTAGTAGCTCCGGCACCTCCAGCACCAGCAGCACCTCCAGTACCTCCAGGACTAGCAGCTCCAGTACCTCCAGCACCAGCAGCACCTCTAGTACCTCAAGTACCAGCAGCACCTCCAGCACCTCCAGCAGTACCTCTAGCACCTCTAGTACCTCCAGGACTGGCAGCTCCAGCACCAGTAGGACTGTACCCTCCACCACCAGGACTGCCTCGCAGAACGATCCACGCACGAATCGCCCGCGGCAAGAGCGTCTCAAGTAGATCAGGCTGCGGTGGCTGTCCAGCTCCAGGACCTCCAACAGGGTCACCTATAGCTCCACCGCCACTAGGACTCGCAACACCCCCAAAATCAGCACCCCCAGTCGCAGCACCCCCAGAACCAGCAACCCCAGTCGCAGCACCCCCAGGCGCAGCACCCCCAGAACCCTCACCCTCTGTCTCAGCACCCCCAGGCTCAGCACCAGCGGTCTCAGCTCCAGAGTCCACAGCAGCAGGCTGCGGAGGCGGCGAAGACGGCAGAGGCGGAAAACCAGGGGGGGTCTCCAAGCATGGAGAGCGGCGGGGTCACCCCCCTCAGCTAGGCCAGAGGAGTCAGAAGAGATCTCCAGAGGCTCAACCAAGAGGGGTGGGTCTACCTGAGACACACCTGAGGGAGCAGGACCCTGTGGGGGGAGGGGGTCTACCGGGGGGGGGACAGGTACCAGGAAGAGAGGCGCGAGGGGGACCGGGTGGGACGCGTGCGGGTGTAGTCTGTAGAAACAGACAGACTCGTCAAAGGTGACGTCGTGGGAGGAGAAGACTCGACGCTCGCGCGCGTGGTAGAACTGCCACGGCGGGGCATCGGTGGGGAAGCCAAGGAAGACGCAACGGAGAGTGCAAGAGGAGAGCTTGCTCGCTTTGGCATCGCGAACAAGGGAGAGTGCTCCCCAAACCCGAAACACCGACGCATCGCCAACCTTCCCCGTCC